TTAGACATTCTAGTTAGGGCTCAGTGATTCAGAAGGTTGATTAGTTCGTTCATACATTCAGCTTGTACCTGCTATGACGGGTGGACACTGACAGGTGCGGGAATTCAAGGATGACTGACAGAGTACTGGATGCAGAGGAACACATCTTCACCTTGTATTGAAAACCGATTTCACCAGAGACACCTGTTGTGTAAGCAAGGCCCATGGAACGCTCTGGTCCCCCGCGGTCTGGAGCCTGGCTCTAGTAAGCTCTGGCACTGCTTGTTCATGGTGCTCTTACTTATCACTGGTTTTGAGGAAAACGAGCACACTTCGACTTCTCAAAGTACTTATGCCAATGAGATGATTTCTTTTTGCATTTTTCTTAAGATTTCTTTTAAAATTTCTTTATAGTGTATATGTCCTTAAAGTCACCCAAGGCTGAATTGTAATTGTTATTGGTGAGGCTTAAAGTTTTCAAGTGTTATCCCATACTTCCCTTGTCTATTACAGAATGTAAGGAGGCACACATGTCATCATGTAAATAAATGCCTCTGCACTTGTGGTGCTGTTGGTGGCAGGTACAGCTGGTGATTTGGAGGTATTGAAAACTTTAAAGGTGCCTTATAAATGGCAAATGAGATTTCAGTTTAGTGGATTATTTTTAGTAATATGTACCGTATTATATTCTAATTCTTTGAAACTTAGTATTTTTCTTTTTTTAATAATCAAAGAAACCAGGACAACTTATTTCTTCCCCGATATATAAATAGCCTTTTATGGCAACTTTTTTTTGGTAAAGTTAAAGAATTATATCTTCTCTTCTCAGGGATTGCTCTGAGCAACTTAGCATAGTAGAAAGTTCTTTTAGGCCATGGAAACAAATATCAATTTTAAAACTCTAGATCTGCTGATAAACTGGTATAAAATGTATATGCTTATTCTGTTACATTAGGCGAAAGAGCACATTTTAACTTAAGTACAACATCACTTTTTTTTAGGCTTAAAATTTCAGACAAACCCTCAAATGATATTTTGCTGTGTTTCCCCATCCTGTTGTGATTCTGTAGGTTATGGAATTAGCAGTATTTGTATTGAGTGTGTACTTACCATCATTGTTCTTAATCATGCTGTTTTCTTCATTAAATTGAGTCACATACTTGCATGTGCACATTTTCAGTGTAAGAACAACTACTTTGCAAGATCTTGGAGAGGAATAGATTTCAACTAGGTGTAATTAAGAGAGCAAAGGAAAGCGTCATTTTTTATTTTGTTTTAAAAAATTCATAGTTCTTGATGATGTTCTCGTAATTTCCTTACATTGTTGACTCAAGAAGTTTTTTGCGTATGTTTCACATTCAGCCAGGCTATGATGACCTTAATCCTAACTGGAGACTCTCTCCTGAGAAGAGAAAAAAAATCAAAGGTGAGTTTTATCAAGTATGATGATTACAACATTAAGAGACTCCTGTTGTATAATAATGGTGCTTTTTAGATGATATATACAGAGGATGGAAAAATCTTTTTCTTTCTACTGTCCTAGGTTCTCTGGCTAGGGCCCTGTAAAATAAAGACTGACAAAAGACAGATTAATACGAGAAAAACCAACAGAAATGTATTAGTATGTACATTGAGTTTATACACTGGGATACCCAGAGATGAGTAACTCCAAGGGTTGGCTGGAAGTTGGACTTGCGTAGTATCTAAACAAAGGAACAGTAAATTTTTAGAGAGGTAACAAGACAAAGGAAAAGAAGTTTGAGTTTCTATGAGTGGCAATTGTGGAAATGCAAATATATAGGGGAAGTAATGGAAGGTAATCACGAGTTCGTTTTTTATGTAGATTCCTTTGGTGCAGTCCCTGAGCCAGTAAGAGTCTACAGTTGTCTCCAGTGATTAACTATTGTCCTTCCTGGTAGAGAGCTGAGAGGGGAAGGGCTTTGTAAAAGTATGTCCTACTTTTAGGTAAATAGGAGGAAGGCACAGAGCTTTTCTTGTATCTGTTTCTTAATTGCTTCCAGATCAAAATGATCCTTATGCTGAAGTGGCATATTTTGGGGGTGGCGTATTCTGCTACTCTTCATATAAAGGTCTCCAGATACTTCTGCCTCACTTTGGAAGGAGCCACCAGGATTTTATAGAAATGGTACAACGCAACAGATCCACTTCTCTGATGGTCATGTTGTTAACATTTTGGAATTTTCCAAGGCTATGCAGAGCCTGTGGCATCCAGCAGGGCTCTCCCTCCACAGGCCAATGTGGACATGGCACACCGAGTTCAAAGCTCCTGAGCGTTCTCCTTTTAAAGTGTGGAGGAGATAGCAGAAAGGGATTCCTCCAAGGCTCAACTCTGAGTAGTTATCTCTGGGGCTGGGTGAGGGGTGGAAGGAGGTAGGTAATGAGAGATTGGAGGGGCTTTTTTTTTAAAATGATGAATATGTATTTTATAAATAGAAAAAATCCCCAGTATTTACATTTAAATAAAAGCAATAGTGATTATTTAATTGATAGTTAAAATTAAAAAGAAAACTTAAAAAATTAAGAGTTACTTTGAATAATTGGTTCATTTTTCTTGTGGTGAAACTCCCCAAGTTAAACATTTCTGCATTTTTAAGTGTCTCCTATAAAAATGAATGATACTGTGTTGTGTACCAGAAATTGACACATTGTAACTGACTATATACTTCAATTGAAAAGAAACAATGATGGTTACAAGATTCAACATCTTTATTAAATTATGCTTCTAATTTACACTTAAAAAGCCTTAAAGTATTGATTCATTAATATTATGTGTCATGTTCATGTATTATTTGCGTTTGTTATATAATCATCCAAAATGCTCTTTCAGAAAAACATTTTTGAGAAAAAAATTTAATTTGTCAAAGCAGAAGGTTGACTGCATATTTAAATGATTTACTCCTTTTCATCCCACTTTACACTTATCTATAAGTCCAGAAACTCTGCTTTTCATATTTTCTTGGAATTCCTTATTTATATAGATTGCTTTAGACTAAAATTGGAAGAAAATCTTGAGTTGTATGGTCTTAGTTTTTCAATTAAAATGATGAGTTATTCTCATGGAGCTAACCTTCTGTTTTAAAATCTCTATCTCCTTAGCCAAACTGTTTACATATATTTTAAAATTTATGATTTACTGTTGTATTACCTTTAAACCTCATCAGATCCTTAGTGGAACAAGTAAAGTATTAAAAAGGGCAAAGCAATTATAATAAATATCCTGCCATTTCCTTTTGAGTGCCTCAGTTCAGTGAACCATAATTCATTTTTATCCCTCTCAAATTCTTTACTGGTCTTGAATGTATTTTCCTCTTTCTGATTAGTTGTAAGTGTAGGGGAGGATAAATTCTTTTTCCTACTACCCTATTAGATTCTCCAACTGAGTACCCAGTAAATTGCTCTAACAAAAGACAGATTCACAAGAAAAAAGCTTACACACGTATTTAATAAAAGTTTCAGGGACACAGGAGCCTTCATAAGGAAATGATGACCTGAGGAAGAGGTAAACCTGATTAGTTTTAGACTAGGTTGGTTGAAGAGTGAAAAGTTGTGGGAAAACATGGTAGGACAAGAGGGTCTGAGCTAAGGGTAGTAAACTGGGAGAAACTTGGCAAGGCCTGTTCGTTTTAATTCTTCTTGGCTTCCCTCCGTCTTTGGAGATGAGGATCCTCCTCTTCTCCAGGTATGGAGAGGGCACCTCTCACAGGAGGAGCCTACTACCTGCTCCGCAGGAAGGTCAGGCGGTCCTTCCTGAACCTGGTATGTCTCAGATTCCTTTGTGCAAACCTACCTTTAACTTCTACGAATATTGTTCAGTTTTCGAGAGGAAAGACCTGAATGTATTTACCTCTGCATCCTAGGATTTTGGACTCTAACATTATTAGCACTAAGATGTTCACTAAGTAAATTACCATCTTATTCTTGAGTAAAAATTTGAATGATGACTTACATTTTATTTATTCTTATTATTTATCACATATCTTAGGACCCAAATATGTTTTAAAATTGATTATTGGACTGAATGTGTTGTATTTAAACCACATTGACAGAGGCATTTGTGTTGATTTACTTTTCCCCCATTAGATAAGGAGTCCTTCTACCCACTGATAGATGTGAACTGGTGGATGGACAGTGCAGTGACTTTGGCTCGCTGCTCTGGTGCTTTGACTGTCTCGTCGGTGAAAACTTTAAAGAACTTACTGGGAAAATCCTGTGAATGGTTTGAGCCATCCCCTCAAGTCACTGCGACCCATGACGGGGGATTTTTAAGTTTGGAGGTAATGTTTTCCCTTTTAAAGCAACCAGGGTGTTTGAGAGTAAACATGTGTTGTACCAAAAATCTAAATATCTTTAATTTTTGTTTTCCCATTATTTAATCTTTAAAAACAAAAATTTATTACTTGAATCAGAGATTGAGTTCAGTGTAAAAAAAAGATCTGTTGTTTAGTCAACTTTAAAAATTGCATTGTGTAAGAAAGAACATTTATAGTTGTTTTGTTTTCTATAAAGCATTTCTTCTTCATCAACATGATAGATTTTGTTTTCTTTTTCCTAGATTAGTTACCTTAAAATGTAAATAGTATTACTATGTAAGAAATACAGTCATTAACCTTTTTCCATGAAGTGCGACAACTTAAAACTTTTGGTTCTTTTAGTAAGAAAAACTTGTTTATCATGACAAAAGTTTTGAAAAGAGGCTGGTACTTTAAAGTTATGTTTTGGTTATTTACAATTTTTCTTTTAAGCCTTTCAATGGTAATTAACCTTCAACAGTTTTCACTTCAGTGCAGACTGACAAATGTTTTTTACCCTAAAGTTTGGTGCTGAGTCTAAAGATGTTCTTTAAAGAGAACCATGGTTTAAAACCTAAGCCAACTCTGTTGAGTCTGCAATGAAAATTATCTTTAACAGGCAGGCCTTCAGACTCAGAACTTTGTGAAGCTTTAGACATTGTTTAAAAGTGGGTGGTTGGGGAGAGCTGTCTTGGTAAAGCAAATAAATACCTTCATGCTG